TTACTCCCTTTTGGTCTGCTAAATATACAATTGAAAGTGTTTTGTGATATCTGTTCAGTTGTGCAAAAAATACTTGTTGATTTTCCAAGAAATCTTTTCAGCTGATAACATCCCGTGCTGTGCTGTCTGTCTGTGTACAAGGAGGGGCTATGGAGATGAGGAGAGATCTGTCCTCTTTGTAGTCCATCAGAAATAAAGTAGACAGGCTGACACCACAGCTTTACAAATTTAGTGATGTGTCATCATCTCTAAGAGTAAGGTAGGAGCACGCTATATTTCTGGCAGACTGTATTTCTGTAACCACCTGTGTCAGTGATAAATGGCTTGTGTCAACCCTCTAGCTGCTACATCTGCAAGTGAGCTTGTTCTTCTGAAAAGAAACAAACAGACTTACTGGAAGGATCACTATGTGAGGATAAGGGAGCTTAAAAAAATAAAAAAGCTAATGCAACCATCACATATAAGAATTGGTAGGCTGCAATATAATGTTTGCCTTTGGACTTAATACTGTTTTAAAATTAATAAAATAGAGCATTACAGTGATATTAAAGGCAATTTAAAAACAAACATGTCATACTTATCTGCTCTGTGCAGTGGTTTTGCACAGAGCAACCCCGATCCTCCTTTTCTAAGGTCCCCTGCAGATGCTCCTGGCCCCTTCCTCCATTCAAGTTCCCTCAAAGCAAGCAGCTTGCTATGGGGGCACCTAAGTAGGCTCACTCCCAAGCCGCTGCTCTGCGTGCCTATTCACACATAGTGCCTCAGCTAAGCCCTACCCCCTCTCTCTCTCCCTCATTGGCCCACTGGCTTTGATTGTTTCATCCAATGAGGAGGAAGAGTCCCCAGAGAGCTGAGGCTCTCATGCATATCGCTGGATCGGGATGGGGCTCAAGTATTATGGGGGCTGCTGCACACAGACAGTTTTTTTACCTTCATGCACAGAATGAAGGTAAAAAACCTTGAGCCTTTACAACCACTTTAAAATGACATCTCCCCCTATGCCCATGTACACAATATACATAGACATTACACATAACATGCAGTTTGTCAATTTCCACCACTTCAAAATAAATGTTATGTTTCAGATTTAGTAGGAATTTTGTAAAATGTGTGGCTAGTGCCTTGAATGCAGAGGGCCTGTGTTCACGGCAGTGTTTTAGGTCCCGATCCGCATGTAAACAATGGGATTTGGCCATATTGATTGGTACAGGCTGTATGTGTCCCGGTGAAAAATAATCTCATCATTCCAATCGATCGAAAGAAAAGGTAAAAATCTCTGGCCAACATAACTGGTTTGTTAGGTAAAACAAATCATCAAATTATAATGTCATAGTATATTAACATATTCAATTTGTGTTCTTTTTTTAAGATTACCAATATAGATATTTAAATGTATATTGCACATCGGTATTTTTTTCATTAAATTAATACTGCTACTATTTGCAGGCTTTTCAAATACAACTACAGTTTGTTTGTGATCTTCTGCAGCAAACACAGGAAGGTGTTAGTGTGGTGAGAATTGTTCCTCTTTTACATTTCTTGCATATAGAAGAAATTTGATAATGCATTTTATTGTTGTTATCATTATGAATCTGATTTATTTATATAGAGATAGCATATTCCATAATGCTTTACAGTATGGTATAAATACATTGGTATGAGCACTGCCCTTAGAGCTTCCAATCTAATTTGTGAAATTGTAAAAGGAAAGAGCCTTATATACAAAAGATAAATGAAGCTGTTGGACTTAATAGTTGTGAGTTGTCCTTTAACTGGGATGAGTGGTTGTTTGGTGTACAGTTTCATCTTGTGTTCACAACTGGGCAACAAGTCGATGAGGATATGTCTCAAGAATGTTGCACTTTCGGAAGATGGCATCAGAAATCTGGAGTAACTCTGAAGGAAATGTATAACCTTGAGAGGAGTATTTTGCTCACTGAACAGACATTGGGATAGGTGAGGAGGGTGGAGTGACGACTTAGCATGATCAGGTAGGGGGCTGAGCTACTATAGATGGAGTGGTAGATGGACTCAGGCAAAAAAAACATTTTTTTTTTTTGAGTACTAAAACAAATATACCAAGTTAAGTGAGGGGACAAACCCAGTAGTGACAGCCCTAGATGTTACTGCTCCCTGTCACTCTAGAAAAATAAAAATGATTGGATTGGTGCATCAATTTTTTCAAACCCAGAAGCAAAAAAAAAAAAAGCTAATGAATAAAAAAAAAGAAAGGAAATGCAGAATATATATAAACCACAATACGTGAATCCATGAAAAATGCCTGTACCTTCTTAGATGCACCTCTAGAAAAAACATTGGCATAAACAGCTTAAAGAGAAGTTCCAAGCGTCCCCCAAAAAATTAAAAGTCAACAGCTATAAATACTGACTTTTCATATAAGGACACTTACCTGTCCAGGTGTCCAGCGCCATCCTCACCCTTGCTAGTTCTTCACTAGCCTCCGGGTTCCCAGCGCCGGCATTGCAAGTAAGGGAAACCAGAAGTAAAGCCTTGAAGCCTTCACAGCTGGTTTCCTACTGCACGAGTTACGCTTCACCTTGTGGTTGGTCCCATAGTCTTCTGGGACCTGTGAAGTGTCCCAGAAGACTGCAGGGGGAGAGGAGCGAGGCCGAACTTCCTGCCCAGTTCACCATGACAAACTGATCCGGAAGTGGGAGCAGGTACCTTGCAAAACCGGGTATCCACTCCCCCCAAAAAGTAACAGTGGAGGGGGGGGAGGGTGCAAAATAAGCCAAGCTTCCCTTTTTTAATGGAGCTCCATTTTATGATAGGATAGAAATGCGGGCATTTTGACTGCTGCTCCTGAGATGCCAAATTTTAATGAATATGTATCGAGCTTGGGACCTAAAGAAGGGGGAAGTTAGAGCCGCCGGAGAGGGAGATGAAAATCTACTGCAAATGCAGATCCAGGTTCCTCCTGGGTCTAACCCCTGTGGGATTCTGCAATTTAACCCCTTTGCACCTAAGGGTAAAACAAATGTTAATGCCTAAGCACAATTTTGCAACTTTGACATGTGTTAGTAAACTCTGCGTTTTGAAGTTTGGAGGTGTATGAGGAGTTGGAACTATTACACACCAGCGAACCCACCTGGGTTAAAGGGAAAGATGCGCTTTTGACCTGAGGGTTTGGGTCAACTTCCAAGAAGTGCATTTTGGAATTTGGAGGAGTTGGAGAGTGATACATCAGTATACCCGTCCGGGTTAAAGGTAAAGGCGCGGTTTGACCTGACGTTTCAGGTCAATACACAAGGTGAGCGCATAAGTGTGTCGGAGGACATAACACTGGCGGTCACAGGAAATCACCTGATGTATGTGTATAATATATATATATATATATATATATATATATATATATATATATATATATATATATATATAGAGGAGAGCTTGCACATTATCACCTGGAGCACTGAGTCTTATTGTGACATTGTTAATATATAAACGCACAGTGAATATGTTTCAGAAAACGCATGATTATTATGGACATTATTATGGTATGGAGCACGTTTAGATGTTTATTATAAGGTGATATGATTTAGCACATATACGGTATGTAAATAATTGTCATGGAGCAAGATTTATGTATATTTATCATTTGATTATTTAGTATTGCGCTGAATTTTTTGTATATTTAGACTTATTTATATGATGGCTGTTTTCACATCTTAGTAATAAAAGATTGATTTTAGCATCCTTGTACAGCGTTCATATCAATAAAGAGTTTTAAAATTGAATTTTTCAGATTCAGGCACAAGTTGCTGATAATTTGAACCAAAGCATCGCTGAAATTGAACATTTTAGAAATAATCTTTTAACAGCTCCAATGACCACTGTAGTGGAAGAAGAGCATGAGGTATATCAGGCTAATTTATCAAAATAAATTATATATCATAAAATGTTTTAAATGTTTAACGTGCAGCTTTTTAAACAGTCTTCCATGAAAAAGAGAAACTGTAGTCAAAAATGTAAAATAAAAACCTTGTGATGCTGGCTGCTGTTTTAGTTGAAATCCTCTTTCCTCTGTTCTCCCCCTACCACTTCACCCATGCAGCCATAATCTGCTGCAACGTAGGGGTTTATACAAGCCAAAGAACCTGTCATATGCACTCCTCAAGAGTGTTGACTATGCCCACTCTTTCCACCCAACTCATCCATTCAGCCGCCCGTACTACATTCATAGATAGATTCATTCATGGAAGGTAAAGTACAGCTTCTATGAATGAAGGAGGTGGGCAACAACAGATTATGGCCGTGCGGGTAGGGGGGATTAGAGGACAGAGGATTTCAACTAAAACCACAACCAGCAGCACAAGGAACACTTCATATTGCTTGCAAGTACCATCCCTTGAACTGATTTTTTTTTTTTTTTTTACTAAATTTGCCACAAACACTTCAAACTGAGAGCATGCTTTTTATTGTAACTATTAGATATTGTAACATATTCTTTTTTTCAGTGGAATTGCTAAAGTGAATGTCACATACGCGGGCAACTTAACAGGCCCCTTGTACCCTATTGGTTGTTAAGGGCTTATTCAGATGTGTGCCGAAACCCACTCCTGCGCATATCTCAGATTTTGGCCTGTGGCTGAGTCTGAATTAATGAATAAACTCTTAAATTAAGTAGGGAGAGGGAGGAGCAAGACTGATCCTGATCTTTAAGAGATTTGCATGTAAGTCTGCATTTATCTCAGGATCACCTGATCATTCTGACATGAAGGTTTTTTTTTTCCAATAAAAATTCTTTATTGAAAAAAATTTTTCAAACATACAATCCACTTTAACTAGTTGCCGACCGCAGATAGCCAAATGACGGCTGCACTGCGGCCGGCCAGTTCTGGGTGGACGTCATATGACGGCCTCCCAGAACGCGCTCTCCTGCGCGCCCCAGGGGGCGCGCACCCGGCGATCTCCGTGATCGCTGTGTCCTACGGACACAGCTGATCACGTGATGTGGTAAAAGGCCGATCACAGCGGTCTTTTACCACGTGATCAGCGGTGTCCAATGACACGCTGATCAGAGGGAAATGCAATTGCCGGTTCTCGGCTGCACTTTCCTCCCGCTGTCAGATCGTGAGGAAAATACTGCCGAGAACCGGCAGTTGTCAGAGCGGGGATCGGCACCGATCATCAGGGCACTGATGATCAGTGCCCTGATGATCTGTGCCCAGCAGTGCCACCCGCAAGTTCCGCCCACCTGTGCCCAGCAGTGCGCCCACTAGCTCCGCCCACCTGTGCCCAGCAGATCACCCACCTGTGCCCAGCAGTGCACCCACCTGTGCCACTCTGCAGTGTCACACACCTGTGCCCAGAAGTGCCACCTACCTGTGCCCAGCAGTGCCACCCACCTGTGCCCACCAGTGCCACCCACCTGTGCCCACCAGTGCTACCCACCTGTGCCCACCCACCAGTGCTGCCCACCAGTGCCATCCACCAGTGCAGCCCAGCAGTGCTGCCAGTCAGTGCCACCAGTCAGTGCCCAGGGGTTGTGCCAGTCAGTGCCCAGCAGTGATGCCAGTCAGTGCCGTCTATCAGTACCCATCATCAGTGTCACCTATCAGTGCCGCCTATCAGTGCTGCATATTAGTGCCGCCTATCCGTGACACCTCATTAGTGCTGTCTATCAGTGCCGCCTATCCGTGCCACCTCATTAGTACTGCCTATCAGTGCCCTTTAGTGCTGCCAATCAGTGCTCATCAGTGCCGCCTATCAGTGCCCATCAGTGCTGCCTCATCAACGTACATCAGTGAAGGAGAAAAAATACCTGTTTGAAAATTTTTATAATAGAAACAAAGAAATGTTTTTTTTTTTTCAAATTTTTTGCACTTTTTTTATTTATAGCGCAAAAAGTAAAGCGCCCAGCGGCGCCAAAAGAAAGCTCTATTTGTGAGAAAAAAAAGATCAAAATTTCATATGGGTACAATGTTGCATGACCGCGCAATTGTCAATCAAAGTGCGGCAGCGCTGAAAGCTGAAAATTGGCCTGGTAAATAAATTTCACTCATACACAATCAAATGTATTTTCCACTATACATACATTACATAAAAATTACATTACCTTTTATATTTTTGCTTTAAGCACCACTTCTATTAGGGGTTCCCAATATACCTCTAACCTACGTTCTTTACCAACCATATGTGACTTTCTTTCAGGAATTCTCCTTCCCCTTCCCTTCCCACCTGGGCTCCTACCTGGTTTCTCCCAGATCTCCAAGAGTTGATCCCGCCCTAATTATCCAGGGCTTCCTTTACACATCCCCGCCTAAATATATACCAATCTTTCTTTTCTTATTGTATCCTCCACAATCCTCACCCTTTCCTTGCATGTACTGTAGGTGGCATTACTGCAAGCCATCTTTGTGCGATTAATTTACGTGCCTGAAATAGACACCGAAGCATCGCCACCTGTGCCCCACGCAAAACTTTATCCTCATCCACATAGCCCAATATGCTCAACATTGGGTCTAACCTTCAAGATGTGCCATATACGGAGTTTATGGTGCCAAGAACCTCACCCTAGTACCTTTGGGCATCTACTACATGGATAAGGTCTCCCCTTGGATCTTCACACCGTGGGCACCTGGCTTCTTGCCTCTGCCCAAATAAAAACGGTTTCTGGGGGGTACGTACGATACACCCTATGCAACGAAAAAAGGTGAGACAATATTTGTTAAGGGAGACAAGGATACTATCAGCCCTAATTTCAATTTATGTCTCCACTGCTCCTCTGTGATAATTCCTAAGACCTCCACCTACTTTTTTCCTACACAGGAGTTCCCACTTTCTTTCTATTACTGCATCACTTATATTAGCATACAAATCTGACATCAGGCCCTTAGATACACTTGTATTAATTACTTTGCGGAGAAAAGGCATCTCACTCCACTCCAATGTTCTTAACTGCAGTTTCTGTAAATGATTGTTATCCTAAAGTGGGGAATATTCTGTATATCCATTGTAGCCCATCAGCGCTTTCACTGTTTGCCATACTTTAATTATAGAGAGAGTGGGACATTTAAAGTGGAAAGCATCTGCTTCCATAACTTCCACTAACATGTTATGGCATGTACCTACTAACATCATTTTCCCACTGGAATCTTCCTTCATCGGTAAGTTACTTTCCTTTAGATCTTGTAACTGCACCGCAAGAAAGTAGCTCCAGGGATGTGGTAACGCAATCCCTCCCTTATCTTTAGATAACTGTAACATACGTAAACTTTTTCTGGACTGTTCTCTTTCCAGAGTAATTCCCTAAAGATAGTGTCTATTCTCTGGTACTACTGCTTAGGTATCCATACTGGTGAGTTATGTAGTACGTATAGTAATTGTGGCATCCAGATCATCTTGAATAAATTGCTCCGTCCTACTACCGACAAGGAGAGACCACACCAAATTCTCCCTTTACGTTTCAATTCAGCTACCAATGGAGCCATATTATTAGATGTATATGAGTAACAGTGCTTGGTGCGCTGTTAAAATCCCACCTAATTCCTTAATTTTAAATAATATAAGGGAAATATAAAAAAAATAATATATATATATCAAAACAAGGATTGCTGCAACCACTAATACTGTGCACTCTAACACGCCTAACATGAGTAAATACCAACCATGTGGTGCGCTATCCCTTTAAATCTCTCAATACAAAATTAAACCCTAAAGTGATTGGTATGTCTATGCGTAGATACTATATAAGTCCATAATAGTGTGTATAGTCCATTTTCACAAATTCAGTGCTGTGCAAACAAAGTAAAAACGTGCTGTCCCTCCTTTGAATGAAACACTTGGTAACATTGTGATTAGATACAAATCAATATAGGTCAAGTGCGCTGTGTTAATCAATGGTATTGTTTCAAACCAACTCTTCCATCTGCACTCTCCTTGATGGCTCCAGAGATGTGAAAAATGCACTCAAACAAAAAACATATTTCATAATGCAACACTGTAGACTACTATACTGTGAGTAACCTCAATAAACTCAACCAAATTATCCTCTCTCTTATAGATGGTGCAGATTCTGAAAAAACACCTCAAAACGTGCTCAATACCCCATCACCACTAGGTGTAATTCATGCTCCCCTTCTCGTTAGACCCATATAATCATAAGTCTTAAACGCTTGATGTTCATCCGACTCTTCCACCTCTCAGCAGTTACTTCACCCCTCCTGTCCCCTCCTGGTCACGTGACTTCCTCAGGAACCAACCCCTCCATTCTCCCTTTAATTCCAACCAAACAGGGCTTATTTTCCATTGTCCTATACGATTCTCCCCCAGGCTGAACGGCAACACTCATTGCGAATGGTCCGAAAGACGTGGTTGCCCCTGGTTTTTCTTTGCTGGGGAAGCCACCGCCTGGATTTTACAATTGCTGCAAGGTAGGTTGGCTCCCTTTTGCAGGAGTGTGTACAAAGCACTCCAGCTTGGCTGCTGCCTGACTTCCATTATCCTTTGCGGATCATTGTGCATGCATGCCTGCCCCATCCTGCTGCACTGCTTCCTTTCCCTTCCTTCTGGTCATGGAAGCTGCATATATCGGGGGTTCTATTACAACTCAGCCGGTTTATTGATTTATCAATCCCTCTATGGGATCATTCAGACAGGCTGCCACTCCTCAGCTCCATCCTCCAGCACAGCCCAGCTATCTCCGCTGCCTGACAGGAAGCCCTCCTCTTCTCCACAGCCCCCAGAACTTCAGAGGAATCAATCAAGAAAGCTGCTGTCAGCCTCCGGAGCTCTGGCCGCCCAAACCGCCAGCACTTCAAGTCTGCAGGACCGCCACTGCTCAACCCAGCTGCCAGTACTATCCAACAGGGAGCCTCCTCTCTGTCACAGCTCACAGCACACAGGATGTCTCGGGGCAGGAGCAGGAGTCAAACCGAGGGCGTCCGCTCACATCAGACCACGCACCCTGACATAAAGTTTTTAGTGTTATTACCTTTCTTATACATTTTCAGTTTGAATTGTCCAGATTTATTTCAGGAACTCTAGTAAAAATAATAATTATGTTAAAACTAGGTATATAATTTAACCAGACTGGCTAGATTTAAACAAACAATATAAATGTATCTTCCTAAACCAGTCTTGTAGCCCCTTCAATAGGGATACACACTGCCTATGATCTTCAGCTTAGTCCCCAACACACTTTGTCACCATTAAATAGATGCAGCATTAGGGGATCAGGAAGAAATTTTTTTCCCTGCAGGAGCAAATTGGATCATGCTTTGCTGGGTTTTTTTTGCCTTCCTCTCGATCAACTGTGGGTATAGGATTCTAACTTTTTTATTTTTAATGGTTGAACTGGATGGACTTTTGTCTTTTTTTCAGCCAGCCTAACTATGTAACTATGTAATTGAAATGTGGGATATCATTGGACTAACCTGATCTGGAACTAGAGCTGAGGCCTTTTTGTGTACTGTGTCTGTCTTAGTGCAGGGGGCTTCCAAGGTGCACAGATGTTTTGCTGAAGTCATTTTATGCACATACACTTTTTGGTGCCCTCTCTTTGGGTGTATATTAAATTTCAGATAGATGGTGCCATTACACTTTCACCTTAATGTGAAACTCCAAACCAAACGTGCTATCTTTATATCCTAACACTGCCCATCTTGTACATGGTGGATTGTAAATTTAGTTACATATTTTGAACATTTGGCTACAGGTAAGCTTTTGGCAACATGGGGCTCTTATGCAGTGGCACACTGAACATTTAGCAGGCATATACTCTTATACAGATACCAACGTACAATCAAAAATTGGATGATAGCACACCCTGCTTTACATGTGTTTACTTTTGTTTCTATTTTTCTTCTGTTTGTGTTTTCCTGTATTTGAACCTGCTGAAGACTCTTCTCTGAAACTTCCACTCCCGGGTTGTAAATGCTATCTGAGTGTCTTGTCTATGCAGAAGCAGCTTTGTCACCTTGGGAGGTCGGGTCCCACTGTGGGCTGCAAGCCGACGAGCTTATGCACAGTGTGTTAACTGGTGCTGTAAAAGAACCCAGACCACTGTTGTGTGCAATGAAAAAATAATCCAGGTTTATTGAACATTTATAAGTGGCACTTTAACAGAAAAATTAGAGTGTTACATTGTTTACAATTCAAGGATATAATATCTATACCCTTTTGATAATTTACACAAAGAAGCTGATTCAAATTTGACAATGAATTGTAAACACTGTAGCACTCTAATTTTACTGTTAAAGCTGACCTCCAGTCTCCTGTGAAAAAATAAAAGTCAACAGCTACAAAAACTGTAGATTTTAAAAAACAGCCACTCATCTGTTCCATTGATCCAGCAGTGTGCTCGCCGCAGCCAGGTTCCTCTGTCCCGGCGTCGACATCTTAACTATGGGTACCCGTCTGTGACAGCTTTACAG